CTCTCTGTCTCTGACTCTCTGGCAAGCACATGCACCCTTTAGCAAAAACAAAAACAAAAACAAAAACATTGTGAATGAAACTAGTGCCACTGTTGTGTACACTTAGAAATGGTTAAAATGGCAAACTGATGTTTTTCATATGTAGATATTTATATGTCTTCTTGTTTATCTTCATGAGAGAGGGAGACAGAAATCGGTAGTTTTGATAAGATTTCACTGTGTTGCACTTCTCCTGCCCCAGCCTCCCAGATGGCTCGAATTACAGAAGTGCCTACAACCACGCACATGCAGCCTGCCGCCTTTGGAGCAGTGGCACTACCTGTGTGCCACCACAGGCTGACCAATGTTATGTATTTTATCGTAATTTTTTAAAATTTCATTTATTTTTTATTTACATTTTTTATTTCATTTTCTTTTATACATTCAATCACATTATTTAACTTACAAAGTGAATATTTTCAACATGTGACCATTTCTCCCTAGTCTAGTTGATAAAATTATAAAATATCTTCAATAGATAATACCACATTTAATTTTTTAAGTTAAAAATTTGAAATGAGTGACCAGCAGATGGTGTAGCAGTTATGTCGCTGGATTTCCACATGGTCGACTGCAGTTCAAGTCCTGGACCCAGTGACTTCAAAATCATGCTGGGCACATGGGTGTGTGTGCTCACGATCCTGGGAGGAGAACGGAGAAGAGATTATGGCATGGCCATCTGCCCTGAGGGGTGATTTCTCACTTCCCTTCTCACTGTGCCTGTCTGTCCCTCTCTCTCTGGCAAGTGTGCATGCCCTCTGGCAAAAAACCTCTTTTAAAAAATTGGAAATAGAATATACCAAAAACCATTAAATTGTACACTTTAAATGGATGAATTGGGACCAGCAGTTGGCATAATGGCTATGTCACTGAACTCTCACTGCTTAATACTCATGCCAGGTGCATGTGTGTGCATGCCCAAGATCTCAAGAGGAGAATGGAGGAGAAGGGATCATGGCATGGCCATCCCCCCACGGGGATGATTTCTCACTTTCTTGCCTTTGTTTCTCTCTGTGTCTCTCTGGCGAGACATGGGCCCCACAGCAAAAATCTCTCTCCAAAAGAAAAAAAGGGGGAGAAAGACAACCTATAGAAAACCTATAGAATAGGAGAAAATAGAAGCAAATCATATGCCTAATAAGGAACTTAATCTAGAATATATAATGAACTTTTTCAATTCAATAATAAAAAGACAACCCAATTTTCTTGAATAAGCAAAGAATTGGCTTGTCTCCAAAGAAGATATACAAATAGCCAATAAACATCATTAGTCACCAGGAAAATGCATATCAGAACTTCATACCCACTGGGATGACTATAATCATAAAGACAGACAATAACGAATGTTGGTGAGAGCGTGGGGAAGGTGGAACCCTCATACACCACTGGTGGAAATGTAAAATGGTATCACTGTTGTGGAAGGCCATCTGGCATTTCCTCAAACAGTTCAACACGAGTTAGTTGTATTCATATGTAAATTGCATCTCACTGAAGTTGTTTAAAAAATCAACTTGTAGGGAACCAGCAGTTAGTGTAATGGCTATGTTGCTGGACTCCCACGTAGTCGACCATGGTTCGCGTCCAGGACCCGGTGGCTTAAAACTCAACGCCGGGCGTGTGTGTGTGTGCGTGCCCAAGATCCCGAGAGGAGAATGGAGGAGAAGGGATTGTGGTGTGACCATCCCCCCTGGGGGGTGATTTCTCACTTTCTGTCTCTCTGTCTCTCTCTGTCTGTCTGGCGAGCACACGCGCCCTATAGCTAAACCCTCTCCAAAAAAAAAAAAATTAACTTGTAAAAAAAAAAATTTCTCAGGAACAGCAGATGGCATAATGGTTATGTTGGTGGACTCCCACATAGTCAATCACATTTCGAGTCCCGGACCAGCAGCTTAAAACTCACACTGGTGCATGTGCGTGCATACCCAAAATCCTGAGAGGAGAATGAGGAAAAAGGATTGGAGCATGGCCATGGCCCCTGGAGAGAAACTTCTCACTTTCTGTCTCTCTGTCTCTCTCTGGCAAGTGCACGTGCCCTCTAATAAAAAT